ATACGAAGCGGGAAGCAGAAGAGAGGCGGGTGGAAGAGAAAGAGAGACGAAGATGAAGAAACTACAAAAGGACTGAAGGTAAGAAAAATATAACTTTTTAAATCTATTTTTAATTATGTGAGCCCAGGGGTGGCCAGGCCGCACAGCCTTCTCTGAGGGAGCAAGCCACTGCCGCCTTACCGAGCCCAGGGCGGACAGGCCGAGGCGGAGCGGCTTACTCAGAGAAGGCCACGGCAGAGAAAGGTTACTCGGAGTAAGCCGTGGCCGCCTCACCAAGCACAGGGCGGACAGGCTGAGGCAGAGCAGCTTACTTGGACAAAGCCGTGGGGCTCCTGTGCCTCCCCTTGGCCTTCTCTGAGCAAGCAAGCAAGCATTTTTTAATTTTTAATTTTTTAAAAAAATGTTAATTTTTAAATTTATTGTAATTTCAATTATGTTTAAATTTATTGTAATTTTAATTATGTTTAAATTTATTTTAATTAATTTTTAATGTGCAGTGTGCGTAGGAATTCATTATTTTTTTTCAAACTATAGTCCACACCTGCAACAGTCTGAGGGACATTGAACTGGCCCCCTGTTGCAAAAGTTTGAAGACCCCTGCTTTAGGCCCTTACTCCCAGTAAATAGGCCTTGGGAGAAGCATTTCAATCTTTTAGAATGTGGAGAAACCTGCATAAAAGCTGGGAAACTACTAAATTCTATAAGTGGTTGGGGGAAAAGTAAGAAGCACCTGGTAATTTGGGGAAGAGGGCATGGCCCTCTAGAGCAGACCTGGGCATCGCACGGCCCGCGGGCCACATCCACCCCGATGGCTGACCCTGACTGGCCCGCATGAGGTCACTGGCAAATTCAAAGTCAATGCAATTATATATCATCGTAATATAGATGCAAGCAATACAACTGCACTGCTTTTATTTTGAAGGATCTGCTAAATTGAATTGAATTTATTGCTTTTCATGTAATGTTAATGTTTTTGTGAATATTCATTAAATAGTGTTCTGTGCTCCACATTTTCATTGTAATGTTTCATTTACTGTTTTTATAGAGATATATATTGAGCAGAGCTTTAAGTGTATTGGTCCGGCCCTTAACAACTGTCAAAGTTTCTCATGTGACCCCATGGGAAAATTAATTGCCCACCCCTGCTCTAGAGTATCCAGGAGAGCCAGTGTGGTGTAGTGGTTAAGAGCATGGGACTGGGACTCAAGACGATCTGGGTTCTAGTCCCCGCTCAGCCATGGAGCCAACTGGGTGACTTTGGGCCAGTCACAGACTTTCAGCCCAACCTACCTCACAGGGTTGTTGTTGTGGGGATAAGATGGAAGAGGAGATGTAAGCTGCCTTGAGCCCTTTGTAGGAAAAAGGCAGGATATAAATTGAAAAATAAATAAATAAAAATAAATAAATGAAGTTCCCAGGTGGACCAGATTTGACTTCTGGGTCTGCGACACAACAAATAAGTTTCTACACAGGTTATGACTAAGTCTGGATCCAATCATATATATATGTATGATGTGCTGTGTGTCTAGCCAAATGGATTGCATATTAGCAGAGGCATATCAAGGGCTACTACATCAAAGGTGCATGAAAGAAAAGGCATGGTTTGAATGACACTGATGCAGTATTTCCCGTTTAAGTAAAATACACACTGACTAATAGTAAAACCAGTCATGCCATCAAAGGAAATTCAGTGTGTATCTGAGAGCAGAAGGGGAGGGGGTGGCAGGAAAGGCCTCACTGAAGATGTTGTGATAATTCTGGCATGCTTGGATTTAGGAGCTAGGTGTGGTTCGTTCTATGTCCTGCTCCTCTGAGGGCAGAAAGGATGTTTGGCCATGGAGCAACAGCAAAGGTTATTTCCATTAAGCAGTGTTGGAATGCGTTCAAGTCTGTTTTTTAACATCACAGCAAAACTGAAATGATTGACTGATCCCCCACAGCCAGTAATAATGTACAATGGAGTAGATGGTATTTGGTTTTAATGGAACTTACTTCTCTATACATTTGTTTATAATATTTAAATCATATGGTATATGATGTAATGTTCAAACCATAAATACAATCCGGAGAGCCGCAAAGGCCTTATCTAACAAAATCTGCTGAAACCTGTTAATTTGTTTAGGGCAGCCACATGAGTGCAGCTCAGAGCTGTGCAAAAGGCAATATAATTCATTTTAAGGCAATCTATTGCTGCAGAAATCAACTGCATTGACAAAAGCACTTGGATGTAAATCCTATTGTTTTTGATGGAGCTTCGAAGTCAGAATGCTTAGCTTTGCAGACTGTTATACCTTATTATTTCATTTTTATAGATTGTGAATTGAGCTGCAAGTTCTGAAGATATAGGTTGTGAACTTTTTGGTTTTTTAATGGAAGCCTGTGGAGCTTCCAGATTATTTTATTTTTGTCATTACATACAATCAACTATATAGTGCACCATCTGCTTGTTTTTGTGCTCCCTTAAATGTCACTATGTGTAATTGCAATTGATTCTGTTTCAAGTGTGAAGTACTTGGTGCCCTCCTGAAGTTGTTGAACCACAATTCTGAGCATTCCTGACAATAGGTCATATTGGCTGGGGATGATAGAAGTTGCAGTGCAACAATGTGTGGAAGGCCGTATGTTCCCAAGGGCTGCTTTTTTGTATGTCTTTTGAGAAATCTAATGGATGAATTCCAAACAAATATGGGTCCTTATTGCTATTTTAGCAGTAAGCATGGAGGTGAACTAAGTGATTGTACTCCATCTCAAATTATTTTGTCAGTTCATGTCCATGATGGGCATACTTAGATCCCAGATGTTTTCAGTTACAATTCCCATCACCCTAGCCAGCTCAATCAATGGTGAGGGATGATGGGAATCATCAGTCAAAACATCTGGAGGGCCATAAATTGCTCACTTGCCCTTTATGGGTTCCATCAGTGCTTGGACAAAAAAGAAATTATTAAGTACTCCAGGTATGCATACATAAGGATAATTACATTCATGTTGCATGTATTGATCCTGCGAAATCAAGGTATTTATATATATTGCTCAAAACAGAATGTTGTAATACCCTCTGTGAGATCTGGAAATACAAATAAATCTGATATTGGATATTTCCTCTCAAAGTGATCCTCCCCTCTCCCTCAGAGGAACCATAGGAGGCTCTGTGGGGTAGTTTAGCTCATAGGCTGACAGTTCCATAATCCTGCTTCAGGGAAAATACTGAAACTCAAGGAATAACCAACTTTCCATATAGCAAGGATGGACTAATCATGTATTACATGTCACATCCACCATAGATTGTCATATTATGTGATTGTGTGCACATGTGTGTATGTGTGTGTAGTCATAGATATAGGATTTGTACCCCAAGATCAGTGCTGAAAGGCACAATCTCAGGACGTTATGTAGCCACTTCACTGAAGTTAAGTGAGCATCTGAATGGGAGAACTCCCATGAACACCTCCTTGCATTCCATAGTTAAAGGGGGATATAAGTGTACTGATACAAATAAAGAATAAGTGGATTGCGGGGGGGGGGGTGTTCCACAATAGGGTGGTTAGAGGTTGGTCCAGCCATTATGATCCCGATTCCCTCTTGCACACTGGACCTAAATAAGACTAACTGGGATAGACTGATGCACTGTCCAATGGATTAGGGCATGGTTTACTGACCGAAAGCAGAGGGTAACCATTAGTGGGGAATCATCGGGATGGCAGCCAGTGACAAGCAGGGTCTGATCCTGTTTGATCTTTTCATTAACAACATGGAAGAAGGGGTGAACAGCCTGCTGATCAAATTTGCAGACGATACTAAAACCAGGGCAGTGGCCACAACTGAGGAGCAGGTACTCCAGATCCAAAAGGATCTGGACAGACTATGGAAGTGGGCAGGAGACAAGAGGATGGCGTTCAATGAGGATAAGCACAAGGTGTCCTTGGGGCATAGGGTGTCATAAGTACAGGTTAGGGGACAAGTGGCAGGAGAGCAGCACTTGTGAAAGGGATCTCAGGGTGCTGGTTGACTGCAGGCTACATGAGTCAGGAGTGTGATGCGGTGGTTAAGAGGGCAAACGTCACTCTTAGTTGCATAGCCAGAAGTGTGGCTTCTAGATCGAAAGGTATTACCACCACCTTATACGACTCTGGTGCGCCCGCAACTGGAGTATTGTGTTCAGTTTTCGGCCCCTCATTACAGGAAGGATACAGCAAGGTTAGAGTCAGTGCAGCGAAGGGCCACAAGGATGGTGGCTGGTTTGCTGGGGAAGCTGTATGAGGCAAGACTAAGAGAACTGGGTCTTTTCAGCCTGGAGAAAAGGAGACTCCTAAGGGATCTGTTGGCAACACACAGCCATGTGAGGGGGTGTCACACAAAGGTGGGTAGAGACCTGTTCTCCCCTGCAGAGGGCAGGACGCGCTGCAACAGAGCAAAGCTCAGGGAACCAAGGTTCAATTTAGATGCCAGGAAGCACTTTCTGACAGTTAGGACCCCGAGGGTATGGAATGGGCTTCCACGGGAGGTGGTTGAGGCCTCATCGGTGAGGGTGTTCAAGGAAAAGCTAGACATGCGCATGGTGGGCATGTCGTGAGTGGAGCTGGGGATCAGACTAGATGGCCCTTCTGACTCAGTTTCTATATGCCAATCTACCATCAGTGATTAGCACTGCCAGTATAAATATTTTTCACCTCAGTCAACCCACTAACTGCTAAGAAGCCTAAAGATGCTATTAGCTAGTAGCTATTAAGGTGTTTTGTGTGTGTAGGACTGTATGTATGCGGAGGTAATGCATGCAGGTCTTCAACAGTATATACAATGCCATTCAGATGACATCGAACACATTCATCAAGATGCTTTAGTTTGCCGTTTCTGAACATAAGTAAAATGCCTACTGCATATTAACCACTGTGACAGCATTCACTATATTAACAGCTGAAGACTCAAACCCTTTCCCTCCTTCTACAGTAGTTTTTCATCTAGACTGCCATCTTCAGAGGATTACAGAAAACAACCCACAATTATTTTATCATGATTTTATTGAATGCTACAGTTAAGAGCTCAAAGCAATGAGGGCAGCAGTGGTATAATGGTGCAACTGCCCCCTCTGGCCCCCCACATGGCAAAACACACTGAGGATGAAAGCTATCAGGAATGCTTTACACAGCTTGTTAGCATTCCAGTTCATTTTCAGTAGACATTTGCGCAGAGATGTTTCTCATGGATCGTTCTATAATAGTGCAACCCCTTTGAGCTTACTTAGAAACAAATCTAACCATGATCAGAGAATTACTCCCATCCAGTGGGGTTATAAATTTGAATAGCTCCAGCAAAACCAAAAACACCCAACCTTAGCATTTTGAAGGCACTTGAGGGCATAGGTTTTATTATTCTTATTACTTTGGGGGCAGTCCAAGACATGTGGTGTCCGAGAAGCAACCTCTGCAGTCTTCCATGGTAAAGTAACCCTAACAGTCTGGCAATATGCCATCCTTTAATATTGCCTCTAATCTGCTATCTGGGGTGGCTGTACCTTGTAGGCTTTCATGACAGTGGATCCTTCTATAGTGCTACCTTGAAAGTAACACATAGCCTCTTCAGCTGATCCTGTAAAACTCAGAACAAGTTTAATAGTTTTTACTAGTGGTCATATATCAACTAACAAAGAAATTTTCTACCTCTGTTGCACATACAAAAATGTGACCTGCACCTGGCAATGCACATTGTGTTATGAGCACATACTTCCCCCCCCCCCCCCGCTCTGTAGTACTGGGGCCTGCCCTTGATTTATTACTTACTATTTGAAGTTTGGTTATGTCTCAACTGAAGTATTTACAAAAGGAGAACTAAATGCTCCTTAGAATTGCAGTAAAAGTATAGGATAGAATCTAATCTTTGAAAATACAAGTGGTTCCTGCTTTATGAACGAGCTCTTTAAGTCACATTTGTATATAAACATAAACATGCATATAAAACAAAGACTTCAATATACAATTGGCCCTCCACAGCCGTGGTGGTTAGGGGCACAGGACCACCATGAAAGTGGAAAAATCACTAGTCTCTCTAGTTTACCCCACAACTCATCAGCATCTCCTCCTTGCAGCAAGGACATGCTGGAGGGATGTCCCTCCCCAGTTGGGCAGGGCAAAGGGGCATGCTTCAGAGGCCTCCCTCTCTTCTCATTCACTTCCTTTCTCTTTCTATGGCAATGACAATATTCTGCAGTAGGCTGCAAAACTCCAAAAGATACAAACTGTTTTTAATTCGGTTTTTAAATAGGCTTATGGCCGTTCATTTGTAAGTATATTGTTGTTCATCACTTGGAGGTTCGTAACCGGGGCCTGGCTGTATACAAGTCCGGTGGTCATCCACAGTAGTTAGCGCTCTGTGAAGAAATGGTACTTTCTCTGCCCCAGTGATAGCTAGAGAGACCTCTTGCTGTATACAGCATACCCCCGTTGCGGTTCAGCATTCGCGACTTCAGTCTTTTGCAGGATTTTTCTCCGAGCAAGTCCAAGCCAATCTTCTTGCGAGTAAGCCAGCAATCTCTGCGTGTGTGCACCCCTGTCTCACCACACATGTGCCCCCCAGCCCAGCCCACACCTCCTGCCCACGCCACCTTGGCGGCCGGCACCAAATTTGCAGTTTTTCACAATTCGTGGATACTTTAAGAACGTTAACCCCCACGAAACAGGAAAGCATAGTGCAGGCTGTGACAAGATGAGGCATCTGTAATGCTGCACAATAATTCTGCCTTGTCCATGGAATCAGATGTCTTCTGTTTGTCACCCTCCCATGTGTTCCTGCTGCTTCTTCCACCTTTTCCTTACCAGAAAAAGATTTGTTGCATGGGGGGAAAGGTTTAATAGTTGCACAAAACTTTTGAGTGCTGCCACTAGGAGCTCTCCCTGTCTGGAAGCAGTCTCTTAAGTTGATCTATGTACTTCTCTGCTACAGAGTTGGCAAAGCTATAAAATCTGGGGATGGCTCTGTGCTATGCCTCCTCCCAGAGGAAATCTTTACACACAGGCAGGCCAAATTCTGTTGGGAGGGGAGAAAGTGAAGAAGCTAAATGAATTGTAGAAATTGCTCTAATTTGCACAATTTATTCTGCAGTGTTTTATTCTGCAATTTATTTTGTACAATGTAGGTTGCTTCTGCCAGCACTGGGGTGGCTGAAAGTAGTAGGCAGGGTATTGAGTCCCCAAATCTTATCTGGATATTTTTCCTGCTTCTGAGGAAAAACAGAAAACTTTTCCACAGGGACTACTTCATCCTCATAGCCATCTTGACAGTGAAGAAGACAGGATTGTGTCCCAAAAGGCATTTGTTCCTTCTGAAGAGCTCCAGGGGACTCATGAGTAATGGCTGATAACCCTGGCTTGAGTCCAAGCTTGTTGCTGCAAGGTGGAAGATATGGCATTCCCAAGATGGGGCCAACTAAGTGCTCCCCTGAACTTTGAGGTAAAATAAAACAACTTGAGAAGTAGGGGAGATGCAAGCTGTGTAGAAGCAGTCAGCCATCCATGCTTTAATACTGTTCTTTCTGTAGCCTGGCTGGTGAATATATGCTCTTCCTTATGGAGAGAATACATATTTTTCCTAAGATGCGTTTAGACTCTGTTGCTGCACAGTCTTCTATTTTTTTGGGTCCTTGTCTCAAACAAATGCAGGTCTTCCCATCTTATGATTCACTATGCCCCATGTAGCCTGCAGATTAAATCATACATGAAGAACTTCAGGTCTCAGCTGCCAGTCTGTGCCAAGATGGTAAAGACAGAGCAGAAATGTCTCTCCTGAAGCTTAGTTACTGGTGATGAGAGCTTTAAGGTAAGGTATGCTGGTATTTGGGCCCTTTTCTCTTTTGCCTTTGGCCTTCACTTACCACTGGAATCTGGCCCATAAGGGTATCTCTAAAATGGAATTCAATCCTGGGCCTGAAACAGCCCTGGCTTATAGAAAGTGGCTCACTGGGGCCACAGATAAGCCTCTTGGTTTTGCTGCCTGACTGGTGGAATCCATTAGCTTTGCAGGCTACAAGTGCTGTTCCACTGATGAGAAACTGGCTTTAGTTTCCTGAGAAGCACAGCTGGGTTTCCATGCATGACTCACGTGTTCATGGCTTAAGAACTCTGCTGGCATTTTCTGGGAAAAGAATTTTGTATTACTTCCCCTGCTGTTGCTGCTCCACTCCGAAGCTATACTTACGTTTGCTTAGGTAACAGCAAACAAGGACCAAATTTGTTCCAAGTCTGATAGCATCCTTTTAATGATTGGTCCCTGCGATGCAGTTAAAATTCCTGATAAGATTTACTCAGTCTGCAACATGATGCAACATACTGCATGCATGCAAGACTGAACTTTTGAAATGGGGTTGCCATTGATAGGATCTCAGGATGATCTGCCAGCGCCTACTCTGAAGAGCTTAAGTGCTTTAACGAGGGGTTCTTTTTCTTTGCTTCTCCAAGTGATCTTCAGGCTTTCTAATGGCTACAGACATCACACATCTTTATCATTGGTACAGACTGTAAATTGAGGCTTTAGTGTTTTTCTGTAAACCCTAACTTGCTTCTCCCAAAGTCCCCATCCCCCCAAATCTGCTGTCTATCATTACAGTCCTCTTTGTCCACTCCCTGAAAGTCGAAGCTAGCTGAGTGTACACTGTCTTGCTTAAGATGAGCTGTACTTGTTACTGGAGCGAAAATTGTCATATCCGTGATCATTGGCTCTGAACTTTAAGCAGGATTGTTTCTCTTCTAGGGATAGCATATCTTTGGACTGACACCAGCAACACAGGCATGACTGTTGAAAAAGAAAAGAAATACCACATTAGAAAGGCTCATTAGTGCAATGCACTCAGATAAAGAACTTGAATTGCCTGCTTGTGACACAAAATCTAGAACCATTTCCCCTTTTGTTATAATGAACAGAGTCTATCCCACTTTTCCCAGTCTTGTGTCCTCCTGATGTGATGGACATGCTGGCTGGGAATGATAGAAGTTACAGTCCACCTTAAGGTACAAAGTGAAGATCGATGGCTAATTGCTTGTATGCACATGAGCGCACACATGTGTGTATCATATTCTTCCCTGAATCCTCCTTTCCCAACTCTTAAAATATGCATTCCTGAGTTAGCTTTCCCTTCCTACTTAGTCCTATTTATTCATTCTTAATGAATGCAATCGTTACACAAGAAGAGACAAGTATGGGCAAAGTGTTGGTTCTGTCTGGCCATTCATCCCCCTCTTGATTGCCCTCCATGTGTAGAGAATAACTGTCCACAGGAAACTCACCACACAGATTAGAACCTTGCACTTCCCATCACTCCTCCCTGTGTCTAGAGGCTACATGCATAAAGAAGGCTCGACAGGGACCTAAGGACTAACCACAATTTCTCAGAAGTCCCATGGCTGCTTTAGTTCAGGGATACCATTTTGGGCATGGTTGGTCACAAAAATATTCACTTCCAAGAAGACTATAAGAAAGTAACCTGGCTAAGAACCCAAATACAAGGTAGAAAAAAGAGTGGGGCGGGAGGAGATAGAGAGAGAGAGAAAACATGCACGTGAGAGACAGATATCAAGATCACAAAACATTCTTTCGAAGCCAGTTTTTTGTTCCGTCAGCTCTTTCACAGTGACTTGGCCAAGAAATTGAGCACAAGGCAGAAGCTGGATCTGAGTTCTAAATGCCAAATCACATTATTGCTCCCATAAAGAGCAACCAAAGAGCCATTTCACAGAAGGCAAACTGGAGTCACCTTGAGAGTCACATTATGTCCCATGCAAAAAGCATGTGAAACACATACTCTACACATTAAAAATATCAGATAACATATACTATGCTGAAATATACATGCTATTCTATATGCACAACCAACATAAACATTATTAGGCAGTACCTGCTCCCTGCCCCAGTGGGAGCATAGACGAAGCACCTGGCCACCATTTGGAGAAGTATCTGCAGCATATTGGAGCCCACTAACATAACACTGAGGACCCCAGTCATAGCCCCTTACTTAGCAATGGAAAACTGTACAAGGAAGGCACACAACTGACATACTGTAGCTACCTGCTGGATTCTCTCTGAAAAGTGTGCACCTATGGAAAGAGAAGTTACCAATCTTTCAGAGTCGTTTTTTTAAAACTGTCCCTCTTCTTTTCCTATCCCTTTATGTATAGTCAATTATCTACAGGCCATGACAAGTTTATCTAACAATGTAATTTAGCAGAATCAGCATCAGATCATGGCTACTTCATGAAGTCATAACCTGGCTATATTTTACCATGATATTTATCTATACATCAAGCATATTGGAACTCAGATAGGTGCAGTTCTGCAAATGTAGTATTTAAGAAACAGAAGAAATAAAAATTAGGTCCACCATTTGTGGAGGAAAATGTGGGTATGTATGGAAAATGAATCAAGGTTAGTTTCAAAATAATATACAGGTAGTCCTTGGGTTACAGACCAGTTCTGTTCCTGAGAATGTCCTTAAGTCAAATTTGTCTGTAAGTCAGATCACGTGAATAAGCCAAATGTTTGTCTTAGCCTATGTATCTATTTTTACCTTTCTATGCATATAAAATACTTAAGAAACACTTCCATATTCACTAAAGCATCCAAAACACAATACAACATTGTACTAATAATACAGTAATAAAGTAATTGCAGGCACTTAAGTGAGAGAAAGAGAGAATCTGTATACATGTAGGTAGGTATACGTTATTGTAAAAAAAGAAAAGGAAAAAAGAATAACTATTAAAACATGACACATACAAAACAGTTAAGAACAGTTTAGAACATTCTTTCAAATCTTATAGAAGCTAGCTCACTGTCATTCTTGCATGGTTTATAGCAAGATCATGAATATTAAGCATTTTGAACACTTCAAAGTACTATATGTTGTTTGTTCTTTTTGTTTGTTCATTTTCTGAATATATTTCTGAGTTTTTCTGCTAATTTACAATAAACCATAACAGTAATAAAATGCCACAGTTCCAAGCAAACCTAACCTAAAACAAAATGTGACCTCATGGATTAGGAAGTTATGAACAAAAGCAAGATTTTAAAGTTAAGAACAAGAACTAGAGCAACAACAACAACAGAAGAGTAGGGAAAAGTTCTGCTTCATCCTTGAGACCCTACAAGTGTCACAAAACACACTGGGTCAGGCACGATCGAGCTGATGCAGCAGAATGAAAAGCTGGGAATATCTCTAGGGAACTAGACTGTCACTGATAGAGTGTCATCAAATGTGCTGCATAGTTCCCTAGAGATATTCCCGGCTTTTCTCCAGAGATATTAATATAGCATGGCAGTCTGTGTGTTCCTAAGTAAGGGTTGTTCATAACCTGGACATTCATAACCTGGAGACTACAAGTATTGCACTGCCTTCTGAAGGTGAATCCTCAGCAGGAACAGAACTTGTGTTAATGAAGGAGCTATGTAATACAGAGCTGCCCAAGCATTTTGTTCTTGTTTGCAGCTCACGTGAACACATTCTAATCACAATTCTTAATGCGAACATGAGCAGGAAGACATTTCTTAGGAAATTTTTAGCAATTTCCCAGACTTATTTTCACATTCAGAACTATGCACTTGTACAAAAACACACTTCTGAAACTACACATTTGTGCACTTCCAAAACCAATCATTACTATAAACCCACCCCAAATCTGCATTCTCACATTGTAACCAATGGGGGGGGGGTCAAGTGTGAGCATTTTGTGTGTGTGTGTGTGTGTGTGTGTGTTTAAAGAAATGATTCCTGCTTTCAGAAACTGAAACAAGGCAAAATGAGCTATCAGGAAGAATTTGGAGAATCCCAGGATTAAACACTGCAAGTTTACTTATCCTTAGAGTAACAAAAAGTACAGGCTTAGGGAAGAGGTAAGGCTAATTGGAGTTTGCATTAGTGTTCTCACCTCAGTTTGCAAAAAGAGGCAGTTACTGAAAGGAGAATGCAGGTAGGTATAGCAGTAACATCTGATGAATTGGATGTGGAAGACAAGAACCCAAGGGCAAGAAGGGGTGAAAATATCTGGCACAATCAAGCAATGCCCATAGCAGCTGAGTTGCACCTTACTGGCTATGTATTTTTTCTTTATTATTAATTTCTATCTATAACTTTATTTGCTAAAAAAAGGCATTAAGGTGGTACACAGCAATTTGAAACAGTAACACCTTAACACAAAAAAATACAAGCATTAAAAATAGTAAAATATTGGAACATTAATGGTACTACATAATTTAAAAGGCAAGATTAAAAAGATTCATTTTCACACATTTTCTAATGGCCAGGAGAGTGTAAAGGTCCAAGAGCATTCCACAGTTTGGGCATGGTGCAGGAAAAAAGAAGGCCTTTTGCACTGTGCAAGAAACAGACTTCTGCAGGTAAGTGTGTCCTCAAAAGGACACGCATTTCATAATCACGTAGGTTCATAATGACTGAGTTTTCACGGGTGACAAGTGACTGTGTGTGAAGGAGGGAAGAGAGCTAGTCTCAAAACCCCAGCAGACAATCTACATGAAACTGCTGGGAGAAGTCATCAGGAGGGCTGGGCTGTGGAGTCACCAGTATGCTGATTACACCCAGCTCTACCTCTCGTTTATTTGTTTATTAATTAAAACATTTCTATGCCGCCCCATTCGCCGAAGCCTCGGGGCGGCTCACAACATAAATTAAAATAAAATACATACAACAAATTAACAATATAAAATAAGTCGCCCTGGCCAGATAAAATAAGCAAATAACATTAACAATTAAAATGATGCTTAAATAAAAAGGTCTTTACCTGGCGCCGAAAAACAAATAACGACGGCGCCAGGTGGACCTCTCTGGGGAGCGCATTCCATAGATTGGGCGCCACTGCAGAGAAAGCCCTCCTCCGAGTACCTACCCTCCTAATTTCCTTCATGGAGGGTTCCCGGAGAAGGGCCTCTCCCGCAGATCTCAAGGGGCAGGCGGGCGTATATGGATGTAAGTGCTCCTTCAGGTAACCAGGACCCAAGCCGTTTAGGGCTTTATAGGTCATCACCAACACCTTGAATTGGGCCCGGACTTCAGTGGGAAGCCCGTGAAGCTGACGGAGGACTGGAGTCATGTGAACATAACACCCAGTCCCCGTCAGCAGCCTGGCAGCTCTAGTTTGAACCAATTGAAGTATCCGGACCGTCTTCAAGGGTAGCCCCACGTAGAGCACGTTACAGAAGTCAAGGCGGGAAGTCACCAGCGCTTGTGTCACTGTCGCCAGGCAGTCGTATTCCAGTCGTACTCCAGGTAGGGGCGCAGGGTTTACATCTACTCCAGGTGAGGCAGTGGTTGTACTGAACCGGTGCCTGGCTGAGGTAATGGGCTGGATGAGGGCCAATAAACTGAGCTTCAATCCAGGTAAGATGGAAGTCCTGCTGGTGGGCAGGTTGAGGTTTCAGGTAAGTGATTTTGACCTTGTCCTGGATGTAGCACTCCCTATAAAGGACAGGGTCCACAGCTTGAGAGTACTCCTTGACCCGGAGCTGTCACTGGAAATCCAGGTGGCAGCAGTGGCGAGGAGCGCTTTCCTACAGTTTTGGCTGGTCCATCAGCTGCGTCCTTACCTGGACAAACACTGCCTAGCAACGATGATTCATGCTCTGGTAACTTCCTGGTTGGATTATTGTAACGCACTCTATGCGGGGCTGCCCTTGAAAATGGTCCAGATACTTCAGCTGGTACAGAATAGATTAGCCAGGATGCTGACGGGGACTGGTCGTTATTCTCATACAACGCCAGTCCTCTACCAGCTCCACTGGCTCCCAGTTGAAGTCCGGGCCCAATTCAAGGTGCTGGTTTTGACCTATAAGGCCGTGAACAGCTTGGGTCCAGGATACCTGAAGGAATGTCTCCTTCCTTATACGTCCTCGCCCCTTAAATCAGTGAGAGAGGCCCTGTTCCGAGAACCCTCCTTGAAGGAGCTGAAAAGGGCATCTATTCGGAGTAGGGCCTTCTCTGTGGTGGTGCCCAGATTATGGAATACGCTCCCCGGAGAGGTTTGTCTGGTGCCGAGCTTATAGTCTTTTCAGCACCAGGTCAGAACCTTTTTATTTAACTGTTATTTTAAAAATTAATATTTTAATCCAACAGTTGTGTTTTATTGGTTACAAATTATTTATTGTTAGATTGTTTTTAAGATATTGATTTTATTGATTGTGAGCCGTCCCAAGATGCCATAAATAAGGGACGGCATATAAAAGTTATAAATAAATAAATAAATAATTGGCATGTTGCGGCTAAAATTGGCGTTCATCTTGTAAGAGGGGAAAGTAAACAATGTGTGGTCAATTTTACATGAAGGTTCTAGGGATGTGGGGAGGTCCTGAAAATTACAGGCCAGTTACCATGTCTTTTTGGGTTTTATGAAAGATAATATTGCTTAACCCATAGTGGAACAAAGCGTGTTGAAGAAGAATCAAAATAATTTCTGAGAAACCACATCCTTTCTTACCAGCTTAACCCTGAGTGTCACAAGGACTAAACTATAGAGGAAACCTGGTCAACTAGTGGTAGGCAACCTTTGGTACAGACACATTTGGTAAACTGAGCAACTCTCCTGGGCACCAGCACAAAATGACTGTCATTGGAGCCATGGCAAAGGCCAAGTAGTATGCCCCAAAAGCTGAGTACATAGCAGAGTTAAGGTTTGAACCTTAACTCTTTTGCACCAAGTTTCCAGCACCAGCAGAAATCTATTTCACAGCAAATCCATCTGCCAGTAAGGAAAAAATGTTTTTTTTTTTTTTTAAGTATGAAAGATACTTATGAGAGGCCTTTTGGTGGCTGCCAAGGAAGGTGTCTGAGATACACTGGTGCCTGTGGTCACTGCAGTATATAGTGTACGTTGGGATTTTCAAAAAGCTTTTGAGAAATTGCCTCACCCAAGTCCACTGAATGAATTCACCAGTCATGCGATACGAAACAGGCTGAGAGCGAGGGCAGGCAGATGGTAGGAGTAGGTGGGCAATTCTTGTAATCAAGGGATGCAAGAAGGTTCTGGCTTAGATCTCCCCCTGCATTTATAGTTCTCAGTGTAGAAGGCATTTTTCCTTCATATGGAGAAGCAATAAAGAATGTGACCCCCCCAACCCCAGAATCATCTGAAGTGATTCTGTCTATGAAGAACTCTTCTATAGGATTTTGCTAACACAAGGATAGCACTTCAGGCACAGCAGAAAAGAACTCAATCAAATCTAGATTCCTTTCATTTTTTCTTTTTATAGAACCTATAATGCCTGGAATGCTGCTACTTGACTGTTGCACTGCATCTTTAAGGAAGTTGCTCAACTCTCTGGATGCTTTCAAGGGAGAAAGAATCCCTTGCCACAAATCCTCTTGCCCTATGCAAGTGGGGAGTGCATCTGTGCTGCATATCCTTCCCCTGTGGCACTGTGTGTGCGTGTAGACTCCCCTCAGGATCCATGGCATGTACATTACTGGAGTTGCATGAAAACCAGACTGCATGTAGCTCTGTGGCGGCCATGGGAAAACCCTTTTAGCGTGAGAGCCAAATTCAATTTTGGAGAAATTCTTGGAGGTGACTTTCCAGTGGTGGAAAGGGCAGAAGGCAAAAGTGGTAAGGCCCAAAATACCAATAAAATAAAATCCAGCATATTATGGCTTAAAGTGCTTACTGCTGGCAACTAAGGTTTAGGTGAAGCATTTTAACCTTTTAAAATTGGGGAAAACCTGTGCAAAAGGTAAAAAACCTGCAAGAGATTGTTGAAGGACAGAGGGTGGGGCCAGGGGAAAGGAGTGGGACCATATGGGGAACCCCAGAAGGCCAGACTGGGACATAGGAAACCCAGAAATGGCCCTTGGATATGAGGTTCACCCTGGCCCACAAACACTGGGCTTACTTCAGGAGACATTTGCATGACTCATGCAAATAGTAGGAGGGTCTATGTCACACAGAAAGTGTGGTTGCACTTGTGTGATAAGATGAAAGGCTTTGAAATCTCATGTTGTAATAATGCCAGGAATCCTTAGGGCTCCGTGTCTGGGTGATTCAAGCATGTTCCTCTAGATTTGAATGACCTGGAACCCCTTCAATCTTTGTGCCACATGCTGAATTTTAACTCAAGAATCCTAAGAGCACTTGTATGAATTTCACCCAGTGGCACAATATTGGGATACACGACATGCTGAATCATTGTATTTCTACAATGTGGAGAGTGTGAGGTGAACTGTAACATACGCACTGAAGCCTGCTGGGGTGTCCTGTGGACTTTGGAATGAGCTATTTTTCATTCTGACAAGGGAACAGCTTTAACATTCATTGTGCCTTGGGCATGTTACCAAGCATGACTCAATTTTACCCTCACATAGCTGCAGGATTCCACGAGGACACAGCACACGCAAGACTTTCCCATCATTGCCCATGGAACAGCTCCATTTCTTTTTCTTTTTTCGCCTTCCATAGTTCATGGTGGGACAGGCCTCAACTGTGTTGCTCTCTGGAGGACCATCTATTTGCAGTCTTCAAACCATTAATTCCAAAATACTTGCAGCCAGCTCTGTGTAATACTTCACAGCAATAGGTGTGCTGGAGTTTTCATTTGATATTCTTGAGTTCCATTGCTAAAAATAAATACTTAATGATGTCTTCATACCTTAAAGCAGTTCTTGAACCTCTTGCTCACCAAATACAGAGCAATTGGATTGATGCAGGAGTTCAGGGATGCCATGCTGATGCCAACATAGCCCAGTGCAACCAAAAAACTGCATGGTAAACAAGATAGAACTAAATGTAATTGTTCATTAAAATTTAATACTGAAGGTTTATTACAACAAGAACATTAGGATATTTTAAACAATTTATTGCAGGAAGAGAGTGACTTGGTTTGCATGACACAACAAGCCACTGTAGGAACCAAGCCACCCTGATGATCCATGGCTTGTTTTTAGAGTTGTTTTCCCCATGATGGGTTGTTACGTCATCTGAACCCTGCTGACACATCCCATCATGTGGACCAGAAAATGACTGGTGAACCACTTGCTAAGAGTGGCAAAAATCCCTTGCTACTCTTGACAGGTTTGCCCAAGCCACTGCCGGTCACCCCACAGGTGCCCAAGCTTGATTAGCACTAGCTGGATGTTGCCCACCATGATCAGAAGCCCTCTTGCCTAGCTGTGGCTCTAGATGTTTAACCTTTTATTTTTGAAGATTATCTCCAGCTTGATAGCCAGTGTTTGTGGTTTATGCTCTGACAACCCCTTCAAAGTGCCCAAGCAGCAGACTGAAGGAGCTGTCAGTGGTTGACAAGCATTTTTTAAAACTTTCTGAGTCTACAATGAGTGCAAATATTTTGACTTATTTTCCCTTTTAGCCAGCTTTGTACGAATAGGAAGGTAGGCAATTTCATGCGTACAGAAATGGGTCCTCTTGGCTGGGCAATATCTGGGGTGGGGGATATGTGCTGTTAAAGTACCAACTTTGAACCAAAAAGACTCCAAATAGTTTCCCCTGTGTTTTTTCTTGACAGTTGTCAAAAGGTGAGCTGTCAAGGGGAGCAGAGGCATGAGGGATCTTTGCTTGCAAATAAGGTATCTGGTTGGCCAATGTGCAAACAAAATGCTAGACTACAGAGGCCTTTGGTCTGACCCAGCATGGTTCTTTTGCTGTTCTTATGGTTCCACTGATGTGTGATAGTGCAGCAGGCCATTGGCACTCAATACACTCTTATATGAACTGCAAGCTGCTGGCTCCTCTGCAAGTCACAGATCTAAAAGTTGTTGACAGTCCTGTTGGCTCCTTGCAGTGCTTGCACAGGCCTGCCAGCTGTGTGAATTGGCTCTGTGTTTATCTTTATAAATGCATCCAGAGTAGAAGGAAATTGAAATGACAGCACTTGCTTGAGAAAAGGCAGTATCGGTGATATGCCACTATAATGATCTTACCTCAAAAGTTCACACCTATTTGGGTCATGCTCGTCATAAAGAGTGAGCTTCAATATCCTGCTGAGATGTAGTGGGAGCCAACATAATGCAAAAACAAGCACTAGGCAGAACACAGTTTTAGCGACTTCCCGTCTCTGAAAGCAGAGTAGCAACATTGGGGAAAAATTAAACAGGAAAATAAGCAGTTGGGTTGGGGTCAAAGTAACAGAACTCTTCACTTTGAAAATTATTCCTGGCAATCTCTGGATTCCTCATGTTCATTCTACATACATCTACCTTTTGACTCATGCTTCTGGATTTATGCTATGAAAAGCGGAGGGGATTAGGCAAAGCATCAAAGATGCTGGAGAGAGAAGATGAAAAAGGCTTTCTATTTCCTCCCACTTCAAAAGGAAAGTTTGTATATTTTACTAGGCATTTCTCTTTTACCTGTTTCAAGCAACAAACTACCAAAAAGATAGAAATGGCAGTTGACCATATTCATTTTTACTCTAAATTAAGTCCCTATCATTTCAATGGGTCTACTCAACATTAAGACTAAAGTTGGATATAACCCTGTGATTGCTACCATCTGGACAGACTTTCTGCAACTCAAGGGCTCACATACTTGACCAGATCAATGCACTTATAGTGTTGCTTGGCTGTATATGCACCATGAATGTAATGATTGTCAGTGGGAAACTAATGGTGATAACCTTGACCAAGTGAGAGGGATTTACTATGGTCATTTGTATCCCACCAGCATAAGAGACTTTGGCCAAGCATGTCTTGCCAGATCCCATGAGGTTTGGCATCCTATCTCCATATTCTGGTCTGCTCAGGGATGAATCTTTTTCAATTTCCTCATCTTTCATTTCTTTAAAGAAGGCACTGGGTACAGGAGGCAAAATTTGTCACTATATTTAGCAAAAGAGGAGGTAAACTGGTTCCATCCAAATGCTTTGGATTACAACTCCTGTAATCCTTTGCCACCAACCATGCTTGTAAACCATCATCTCTGGAGGGCACCAGTTCACCTTACCCTAGTTTGCAATCTGGGGTCTGATGTTATGCCTTTTAATTCCCCATGAAGCAATATGCAGTCATGGTTTCTTCCACCCACTAGAAAGCTTCAGCTATTAAACTGACATCAAATACTTAAATTATCTACCCATTTCACATTTACCAATCACTGTAAATGAAGCCTGTTTTTTTTCTATCAGGCCACTTGTGATCATTCATCATTGAGCATGAAGATCCTTTCTTTAATCTGATTGCTACAATAAGCAACTATAGAAAACTTGTGTGGGAAACTTTTAATTAAAACAGGATGTCTCAGTGGTGCCAGGGTTTTATCCTTTTCTGGAAAGACAGCAGTTGCTTTTACCTGCTTTAAGTGGTCATTTAAGGCGATTTGCATCCCACTCTTCTTTCTTAACATCTCACAGGTCATCAGAGTATAGAAGAGGGCAGTGATTGCCAAGGGCAGACAAAAATAAAAGCTAAAGAGCCACCAATCTTTATATTTCTTGTAAAGCTAAAAAAGAAGGGAAAAATGTATTGGCTAAGAGATAATTTTCATAGTTTGTTTTCAAGCCACATTGAAGGAAACATGAGCATCAATTAAGTACAGAACATCTCCTGCCAAAATTAGCTGATCAGCACTCACAGCATTCCCAGGAAGGAACCAACAAATATTTGCCTTGAAAAAGGAGGCCTGTCTCTGGGATGCAGACCCAGTATGGGCTGCTCCACCAGAAGAACTGTGGTGCTGGCTGGCTGCTACAGGAGAAGAGCTGCAACCCTCCTGACACGGTGGTAGCATCCTAGTGCTGACAGGTGCTCTTGGGAGGTGTGACCCTGCTATGGAAAGATGAGGGACACTCCCTGTGGCAGAGCACAAGGAGTGACCCATGGGCCCATGTGCGACACGAAGGGAGGAAGTGAGAGGGCAGAGCCTGCTGACAGATATCTGACGCCATCTCAGCTGACTATCCCTTTCAGACTATGGACAGTCCAAAATTGCAGCTAATAAGCTTAAAAGCTTAATAAGAACTCAAGGCAGTTTATGCTTCTGCTCCTCCTGCTCTCAGTCTTATCCCCACAACAACCCTGTGGGGTAAGTTGTGCTGAGTCTGTAACTAGCCCAGAGTCACCCAGTTGGATTCATGGCCAAGTGGGGACTAGAACCCAGGTTGCCAGAGCCCCAGTCTTGCACTGTTAACCATTACACCAAATTGTCTCGCTTTTAAGTCATCTGTCTCTCTACCAGTGGTGTAGTGGTAAATTTTGTACTGAAGGTGCTTGCCAGGACAGTCCCCACAGACCCAAAGGGAGAATTCAGAAAACCAGGCAGTGGTGTTCTGGCAGTTTTCCTCTGGACCAGGTCTTTTGTAAAGTGAATGAGTCTGAACTGCCCACTCCAAATGAAACCAAAATACTTTGTGGTGTGACAGGGCACAATACATTTTCCCTCATCTCCTGTGAGGATTGCAGTTAAGTTCAGGGGGAATTCTTAGGATGTGTGATAGTGCTAAGAGCATCTTTGTTAGTAAACAAAAGTAAAAGGGCAATGCTGAATTTTTGGCTTCGGTACACCATTGCTCTCTGTAAATGTGCATATCCATTGACAGACTGAATTACTGACAGAAGTTTCGTTGCCCACTCCCTAGAAGATACTTTAAGACAGAGGCTACAAGTTATACTCATGGTGTGGGTATCAGACTAGTTCTTCTTATACAGAATCCTGAAGACTCCTTCCCATGGTTTTCCCTGTGTCTTCTGCTGGTTCAGGCAAGGAGCCCATGGGTTACAATGAAGCAAGGTGAGCTTCTAGTGAGCAAGCTGCTGCAACCAGTTTGAGACCTGAATGGAGCTCATTATGCCTGAAATCCAGTCCACCCTTCTTGAGAAGTGGAAATTCCAACATTCCCCCCATCACTTTGGTGTTCCTCCTACTTGTTGCCCATGCTAATGGGCCAACATGGGGGCCTGGGGGGCCAACATGGGGGTCTGGCTCCCTGGTGGGGAAGGGTCATTTCCGGACTTGAGGTTCTGGACTCCTGAGGTCAAGAACCTGGATCAAGGACCTTGGGTTATGATCCTGGCCTGGTCTTGATGCTGGTTGGTCACCTCTGCTTCTGGTGCTGCTCATTCAATGGGTCTGGTGAGTCCCTTATCTGACAGCAAGCTCAGACCCTTCCCAAAGCTACATTATATGCACAAAGGAGGAGGAGCTAGCAGCTATCCTTCTTCCTACCCTTCTCTTCTAAAGCAACTCTTCCCTGTCCTTCCTCCCACCAACTAGGGGGAAGATTAGTTGCAGGAGATAACAGTGGAAGGAAACAGCTGTCAGTCCTTGGTATATATAACTTGGTAGGGATTCCTTCTTCCCAAGAAGGACAAGAATGAAGGAAAAGGGAAAGGTCAGGGTGAGTAAGAACTACAAACCTCCTCATATTTAAGGACAGCCAAGGGGAGGGAACACTGATGATCTGAAGGAGGCATCACTGGTTGTTCCAAATTGGAACAACCCAGTTCTTACACACTCATGGTGACAGGCCAGTGCTTCAGCCCTCTTAGTCATGTATGGGAGGGAGGGTATACACTGGAGAGACAGACAGACAGAAGGACCAGCATGGTAGCAGTTGACTGGAGAAAGTTCCTTACCTGCATGAAAGGTGCTTTTTGATCAGGAGTAAGTAAACAAACTGCAATATTCTCATTATTATGTTTAAAAGGAATTATATCAAAGCCAATAGCTTCTGGAACAGCTAAAACAAGAGACATTATCCAGATCAATATGATTTCAACTGCTGTCCACTTTGGCACTCCAATTCCCTTGATACGGCTCCACGAAGCGACTGCCCGATATCTAAACACAAAAAATAGTTATTACACCACAGAATGGGGCTAAATTTGGCTCTCTCTGAGTTACATCTCTCTTATTCCATCTGTCTGTGAGGGAATGCTTAAGTCCTCAATCCTTTTCTAGTTAAGCACTGCAGACACATCTGTACCACAGAAGGTAAAAAGATAACATGCTTGAGAAATGAGCAGTAGGAGCTTGTGCCTCCCTCTGAATTTAAACTGGAAACAGAAGAGGGCCAGGTCTGATAAGCTTTGTCTCTCCCCAACTATCATCTTACAGCCATTCTCGGAGGTAGCAGCAGATACAGTGATAGAAATCAGGGACACTCTACTGGCTTGACTGACAGACCAGTGCTTTGTGGTTCCTCCTCTCTTTGGACTATGTCCCTCTGCTGGGGCTGGTCTTGTAGACTAAGAACTAGTGCCCAATTCTGGTTCTTCTTCCTTCCTCTCAATCCAATCTCCTTATGTATTGCATCATTTAGATTTTAAGCCCACGGACAGGGGCCATGTTCTTACTGATCTTTGTGTGATGTTTTGCAAGCCTTTTTTGGTTGGAAAACAAAAATCCTTTCAATAAATATAAAGAATGTATTCTTAGTGGAGTGGAGGCTGTTGCTCCTGCACATACCCTACCTCTTATGGAAGGACTTTGTGGCACAGTTCTTTCCCATGCTACTGTTTCTTGCAGAGTTTGGGAAAGATTGCATCAGCATGGGAACCCATCGCTCAAGTGATTTCAGGCTTTCAGTTACAGAAGTAAATCCTGCTACGGATGTCCCAGAAGAAGGCATTTAGCTCCAAGAAAATCATGAAAAAATTCTCATTGGCCACAGCCTGTACAAATTATGAGCTGGGGATTATGGAAATTGCTGGACAACACATCTGGGGACAACAGCCTGGGGAAAGCTAATTTGGGGTCCTTTTTAATATTACCTTAGTTTTCTGAACATCTTGATTGCCTCAGCAACAGATAAACGATTGCATTAGGTCAGATTTTGGGGAAGAAATGGCCCTACTGTTCAAGTAGTAGGCATGATTCTGCAGCAGAGCAGAAAAAGTCTGATGGATCCCCCCCACCCCAAGTGGATTCCTCATACATTGCTATTTTGAACACAGCAACACGGCATGTGATCTGACCAAAGGTATAAGAGCTTGTGCATGGGTGAAAATTTTGCTAGCCTGGGAATTCTACCTCTGAAAGTAACTGCAGAGTTCCTAAGAAAAATGGGAAGAAAGGGGTTTAAAAAAAGAAAGCAGAGTTATTTACAGGGCTAAGTGTGCTTGTTTTGGCAGATTTCATTGCTGCATTTGCAAGCCTGGGGTTTCATGGAATGGTTAAGTGGTAGCACCACAGGATATGTCTATGTGTGTGGGTGGGTGGAATGGTACCAAAGAGGGCTTGTAATTATAGTGGGGAGAAGAGTCAAGCCAAATTCTCCTACACAGGATCCTGAGATCCTAACAGGAGGACCAAGGAAGGAGAGGGAGAACATCAAATCCTCTGTTTCATCCACTGTGAGTTGCTTTGGTCCAATTATATTTCTCCCTTTGTAACTTGGGCACATTAGCTGTATGTGACAGCTGGTTTTAACAGCTGTCAAAAGTGGCAGGGGTGGCTTATAGATCTTATCTTTCCAGAACACCTAACACTTGGGGGAAGTGTGGAAAAGGTAGGGAACATTAAGAACTTAAAAACTAGAGAATCACACTGCTAAATATGACCTACTTGTCATCCACTTTTGTGAACAAAAATCCTTTTGCCACTTTGCTTTTCATGTGACAGCTTACCATTTGACACCTGTCAGGTGAGTATAAAATTACTTATTTGCAGGCATGCTTTGTCAGTGTCCACAACTGGTGCCTACTGACAGAAGACATTTGTCAGGGTGTTGACTAGGCAAGACTTCTCATTTCAGAAATGCAGAAGTGTGCAAGTGCACACTTGCACACTTCTGCCCCCCGCCCCCCATTCTCAACTGCACATACTTCTACCAGCACCCAAAACCTAAAAAAGTAAGGAAACCAGTGATGGTCATTCCAAAGTGTTACTTTGGCATCAGTTAAGCAGCTGTCACTGATGACAACATGGACAAGTTTGCTGAGAGAGGTGAGGGTTGTTTTGCTGCTCTTGTAGAGTGACTTATTCACTGTTTCCTGTAATCTCTATGATGGGGAGGATCTTCCACTTTTGGATGACATGACAACCTGCCACGGGTACAACAATCCCTAGAAAAAGTCAGGGGTTTCAGGCTGTCTTGTTGCCCCAGTATGAACCACTCTGTGGAAAGTGGTCCAAGGTTAGCATGACAGTACACATGATGGGTTGTTGTGTTGTGCAAACTCAGTCAAGGGGTCTGTGGGTGAAATCATTTGACAGTTAGGCAATTTTTATTTAAAGGATCAGAGAAGCTGTCAAGAACTAAAGCAAACTAATTAACCATGGGACTGTATGGGAGATAAGCCTGCTATCTGTTAAGGCCAAGACGGAAAACAGCAAACTCAAAATTGTCTAGGGAGACTAAAATAAGACTAAAACACCAAATGCAAACTTTTACCTTTCAATAAAAAGCTGTTTGTATCACTGAAAGCTCTGTTATGGCATTTTTCTTTTAAGACAAAAGATGTCTAAGTTGTTTTTTCTAAACTAAAACCTCAGTATTTGGGTTTTATTGCAGTGCTGGCACTTTGCAATAAAAAAGTTGGTTTTGGGTTGCAGTTTGAGCATTCGGTCTCTAAAAGGTTCGCCATCACTGTCCTAGGATTTATTTAAAAGTTTAAGTATGTCAAATTTGCATATTGGAAGAAAGAATAGAGAAAGCAGGAAAAGAAGAACAGGTTTCTTACCTATCGATACTGAGAGCACATAGACTTAATACTGTGATGCCCAGTGAAGTCTTTTGAATGAATGGAACCAATTTACACATTTCAACTCCAAAAGGCCAGTTTTCTGCAAGAAGCTGTGGAGAATAAACAACCAATGGTTAACAAATGCACACTGCAAATTTCCAAGTGATTTGGAACATTAAAAGAATACTTATACTAAGGTGCCCTGTCCCAATTAGGTGTTCTCTGGATGTTTTGCAATACAGCTGTCAGCATTTCTGACCACTGGCCATCCTGGCTGCCATTTATGGGAACTTACATCCAAAACATCTGGAGAGTACTAGGTGGGGAAGGCTGTGCTGAGGGAATCAGCCTGAAACATGCATTAACCACTTACCTTGAAACTAGGATAAATACTTTATTGAAAAATGGCCAGGAAATGCTTAGACTCCATTCTGTAATTCTAGTTAGTTACAAGTACATTTTCGTAATCTAAAATATAATGCACATATCTGGCCTAATTCTGCAAAGGTTGTCTCACAGAAATCAATGGAAATCAAGTTAGTCACAATGCTTCTCTGCTTGAAAGATTCAGCTGGCCATGGGTTTCTATAAGTAGAGCAAGACCAAGCACATGTATTTGCATCTACAATTCAATGTTTGTCACAATAGCTATACAATTTGTCTAAGTTGGGCCACTTTTTGAAGTAGAATTACATGAATAACCTCCTTATTATATGAATTATACATCTAATTCATGCATAATATACATTATTATTATATGGATAATTCATATAACCTGGATTATATGACTAGAGAATAGGGTTTATGTGTGTTTACATCCATGTGGTTTGCACCTGCTTCAGGTTATGTTATACTTGTGATGTGGGTGTGCTAATCCACTATACATATGAAATCCCCTTCTAAGTAAGTGAAACATATCCTATGCCAGTGGTGGCAAACCTATGGCACAAGTGCCACATCAGGCATGCAGAGCCCTTGTACCCATAAATAAGTGGGTTTTGGGTAGCAGTTTGGACACTTGGTCTCTCAAAAGTTCACCATCACTAGGTTAGGGTTAGAAAAATGAGGTGTCCTGGCATGCTTTTGATGGTTGGAATGTGTTTAGAATGGGCAGAAATGTTGAGCTGTGAGGAAAAAGCTACTCAAGGAAGGCTTTTTCAAAATTGCCCTCTTTTCAATGGAATTCTCATGCCATGGAGCATTTTGACAGCAGGGCTGCATTAGAGGCTAGGCGTCTCACATGCAGTCCATGGGCCAGGTTGTCCAACTCTGCCCTGAGACCTTGTATTTCACCAAAAGGAAAATAAAATGGGATAATACCATTTATGTCACCCTGCCTGAATTCCTAGAGGCAAGAAAGATTTTAAATGTGATAGACATGCCAAAACTTCTTTGTAAGAAACATTTTGAGATGTTGATGGAGATGTAAGATAACTTAGAATTTCTCACCCTCCATGAAAAAACCCTGCTTAAAGAGAAAAGATGCCTTTAATTTTTTAAATTTCCATTCCCTCATACACTGATGTGCCAGAACCCAAACAGTTTCAAGACAGTTGCCCCATAAACCCAGCCCATAGATTAAAAGCAGCTCTCACTAATCAATGAACTAAAGCTTTTGTTGATCTACTGGTAAAGTCTGTAAAGAATGGAGCCTACAAAATATCGAACAATATAAACATAATCTTCGGATTAAAGTAGGGAAAGTCTTGAGTGCAAATGAGGAAAAGTGGGGAGTTGGGTAATTGGAGCATTTTAAAGCAAGAATTTATAAAAGCAAGAACTTGTCTCATGCAGTGGATTTTGGAAAGTTGTAGGAAGAACAGAAACAGTTGGACAAGTATAGTCTGATCTGAAAGTGAGACCTGAATCCTGCACCCTCCCACATATGTATGATCCATTATATAGATAATTGGCAAAGTCCACAAACCAGTGTACCTGGCATACATGTGCTTATGGGCAGCTATCACAGCAGGCAGTACAGGGGAAAACAAGGAGAAGCAGCACCACTCCTGCACCCCTACTGCAAGACCACTTCCTTTTTTTTTTTTTTTGGTGGGGGGGCTCTCTTCCCTTTTGCCTTTTTTAGAAGGTAAGCCTGAGGGCAGAGACTGGGTTTTTTTTTAAACTGATTCCATGTAACCATTTTGGCTATGGAGCAGGATAACAGTATTTTAAACCATCAACAAACACCTTCTGTTGGAATGCATAGTGCTGGTGCATGGCTAGCTCCACTCTCAATCAGGGCCAACAATGCTTTGCAAACCCTCTACTGTGGTTTGAATAAACTTGATTAAACAAGTTAAAAGATCCCTACCTCCATATTTATTGTTATGGTAGGCAGAATTTATTTTTATTAAACACCACTGTTTTTCTTCAGGATTTTGCTCATACTAGGATTTCACACATACTCAAAAGCATGCTGGCCTCTTGGATTTCTTGAATCTTCTCAAAGTCAGGCACACCCGCTTTGGGTGGCTGGGGCAGAAGAGGAAATGTGTGTGTGTACCAGCATGTTGTTATACTTAACCACAGTCAACTCAATGTGTTGCTATAGGCAACTATAGGCCAAGGGAATAAAATGGCTGCATCTTCCCTTACGTCTGGTGGAGAATATTTGTACTCATCAAGAATCCTGGTTCTTCTCAAACAGAGATAGCAAAGATCAAAGTATCTCTTTACAGTGGTACTGCCAAAGTTGAGAGACTTGGAGGTCACTCACTATTTTGATGTAAGATACCCATTAGAGAAGACTTATTTATTTTACTTGTATGCTGCCTTTCTATTAAAATGTGGCACTCAAGGCCACTTACAGAACCAATTTGCATTGATTAAAATAATACATTAAAATGCAGTAAAGACTATGAACTGCAGAAAAGATACGATTAAAAGTAGCACATAGTCAACCAGATCCACTTACAGATTAAAGGTGGTCTTAGATAAAGCAGTCTTTGACTACTGGAGGAAGTACATCAAAGAAGGAACAAATCTAGCCTCTTTGGGGAGATAACTGCATAGTTTAGGAATGGCCATTGAAAAGCCCTCTCTTGGGTCATCACCAAATGTGTTTCTGAAGGCAGCAGTCTTGAAAGAAGGCCTTTCCAGATCTTAGGCACTGGGCAGGATCATATGGGAGAAGGTAGAGTTCCAGGTATCCTGGTCCCAAGCCACATGATAGGTCATAACCAGCACTTTGGATTCTGCCCGGAGACAGACCAATAGTTGGTGAAGCTGTTATAACAAGGGAGTCATCTTCTCCTGCCCCCCCATCGACGGTCAGGCTGCAACATTCTGGACTGGCTCAAGTTTCTGAACAGTTTTTGAAAGCAGCACCTTGTCGAGCGCATTAAAACAGTCCACACAAGATGTAACTGAGGCATATGCAACCATGGCCAGATAAGGTATTTCTAGGAGAAGGTACAATTGGTGTACTAGCCTCAGCTTTGCTAACACACTCCTGGCTAGTGCCATGACTTGGCCATCCAGGTTCCAGACCACATTCAAGAGTACACCCAGACTGCCAGGATGTGCACCGTATCACTGCACCAGGAAACCCTGGTATAAGGGGATAAGGTAAGAGTAGGCAACATGTAGGCAAAAAATGTTTCTTTAAACTAAAGATGACACTAAAAGAGTAAACTTTAGTTAGAGAACAAGCTAAATTTCACCCCTTTGGCACCATGTGGCAGTTTGCTATTGAATTTCAGCACCAGACTATTGGGGAAGGCTTTTTTTGGTGAGGTGGGGGGATACTGTATGGAATAATCCCTGAAGCTTTCGCAGTTGTTCTCCTTGGTTTAAGGTTTTATATGTGACTGGGGAATATGTGAGAACAATTGCAAAGTATACGGCAATCATGCTGCCCCAGATATATTTTAAGTGAGGCAGCGGGGGGGGGGGGGCAGACTTACACTATGTGTCTAACTAATCCCAGGTGAAGCATAATTTAGATCAATTCAAGACATCTGTTGTTGCCACAATGGCAAAATCTTGTGAAGGCAAATGACTGATATAGCCATCACTTTCAACAATCAAGCTATCACTGCAAAACCAGGGAGACTGTAATCTATGCAAATCTAATCAAGAGAACAATGACTGCATGTTTAACCATCCAATTACCACCTTATTAAAATTGTCCCCAGCCTATCATCATTTTTCAGAACTCAACAAGCATTCAGAACTCAAAGGCCCTTGAAATCAGTGCTACAGAGACATGACCATTGTCTAGTAAGGATGGGATAGAGCATGGGTCCTCAAACTACGGCCCGTGAGCTGGATACAGCCTGCCATGGTCATTTACCTGGCCTGCCTCAGAGCTTTTGGACTTGCTCAGAGAATGCGATCTCCGAGTGAGTCCAAAGATCTGAACCGGCGCATGCATTCTCTGAAACTCTTTCAGTTTCGGAGACTAGCAGAGAGCCGGCACACGCGCCAAATTGTAACAGCTACTTTCAACTGCACGTGCACCTGCTCTTCTCTCCCGCCCCCCCACTGCATGCATGTGGTGGCTCTGAATACAGAGCGGGTATACGGAGCAGGAATACAGAAGAGAGGAGGGCAGAAGAGAGAGAGCAAGACACACACACACACACACACACACCCTAAAAAAGGATAGAAGGTAAAAAAATATAACTTTTAAAATCTATTTTTAAGTATGTGAGCCACGTCCCCAGGCTGTGGGCCAAGCCACAGCCACCTCACCAGGCCCAGGGGCAGATGGGCTGAGGCGGAGCAGGGCTGAGGTGGAGCAGGGCTGCGGCTCCCGCACCTCCACCGTGACCTCCTCTGGGCAAGCCACTGCTGTCGAGTGGCTGCCATTCTTCTTCCCCCCGTGGCGGGGAGAGGTGGGAGGTACCCCACTTGGCTGGCCACGGCCCTGTCGCTTGCTTCCCCTTGCCTTGGCCCACAGAAAGCAGCCATTACCTCCCTCCTCGCAGCCCTCTCCTGGCCGGGGGAGCCGCCCTGTGCTCGCCTCTCCGGCCTCCTGCTCCTGCTCCCAGAGCCAGGTGGGCGGCTGCGAGGGGACCTTCCTCCAGCTTGAAAGCAGGGCAGTGGTGAGGAGCCGGGAAGGCCTCGACCAAGTTGAGCACACCTCATGGCTCCCCCTCGTGTCATGCTCTCTCTTTCGGTGGGCGGCATGGTGTCAGCTTCAGCTTCTGCTGCAGCCCAAGTGAGTGGAGCAAACATTTTTAAATTTTGTAATTATTTTTTAAAATTGTAATTTATTTTAATTTTAATTAATTTTTAATGTGCAGTGTGCATAGGAATTCGTTCATATTGTTTTCAAACTATAGGCCAGCCCCTCAACAGTCTGAGGGACAGTGAACTGGCCCCCTGTTTAAAAAATTTGAGGACCCCTGGGATAGAGAAAAATTGGTGTCAATCATGCAGAAGGTAGGACAAAGCCCAGATTCATGGTTAGCCTATCCCACCTTGGATCCTTCTGACACCTGCAGGCAGCAAGCTAGCTTAGACTAGGCTGCAGGATAGTTCTGCCCTTCAAGATAGGGTAATGACCAAAGGGTCTGCGCTGCAGGAAGCAATTGTTTCCTGCTGCCTAATGGTAGGGCTGGCTCTGGTAGGGTTACTTCAGAAAGACTTTGCTGAAAAAAAAATCCATCTGAAAGAGAAGGAAGGGGCTTGATGAATAGTGAGAAGGAAAGATCTTTAAAGGCAAAGGCATGGCAAAAGAGGAGCAGGGGAAGGGCAGAAAACAGATAAGCTTGTGTAGACTGGAGTATGTGATACAGAATGTTTTAAAGACAAGAGTAAGAATCACAAAGCTACTGCAAAATGCCAGGCACAGCTCTACTGTTCAGGCAGCAGCAAACAGAGGATTCAAAAAACTTGTAGTTACAGTAGAGAGCTACTCTTCTTAGAAATAAACCACCTGGACTGATACATGTGGTTCGCAACACAAATTTCTCTCTCTTGCTCTCCTTTTCAAACACACACACTTGAACACATGTGCACAGTACAATCCAGTTGCACTCTTGCATTTGGGGAGTAAATAAGGTTCAACATTTAAAGTTGGTGCTAATTTTAAAGGGATCTTGCTGTGACAAGATCACAGCAGCCCAAAGGAAATTTAGCAAAGGCATTCTAAATTGACCAATGTGTAAGAACAGTACTGATATACTAGAGAACTCCAGCATGTTCTGAAATACAGGACTCAGAATATGCATGAGCAAACTGAAGAAAACCTAATCTATTCTAAGATTCCTTGAGGTAGCTGATTAAATTAAGTCTGATGTCTTGGCTGAAAGCACTGCTGTGTTTGTGAATGGGGGTGGTGAGAGGCATAAAAAAAGCATGTTTGCCAAAGCGCAAGGAAAACAAGCAGCTGCCCCACTATCCCAGCATCATCCTTAGATGGACCTCACTGGACATCTGTCTGTATGCCGAATATGGACCTCAGTAGAGATCCTGGTGGAGAGCTGCTTGTACACTGAATAATTATGTGGTATGGGTTGAGGATGTTTGAGAGAGAGGTGGCTCCCTCTATCTCCTCAAGAACCTCTGGCTCTGATGTTGATACCCAGAGATGACGTGCATTGTTGTTGCAATGAATGAGTGGTTTATCCTTCCCATAACTGGAAGATGGATTTCTTCCAATGATTTTAGCATTGTGAATGGGAAGCGTCCATGTGGAATTTGTGTGACCGCTTACCTAGAGTAAACAAGACAGTGGAAACCTAAGCATGTCCATTCAGATGCTCCACTAAGTTCAATGGGACTTAACTCCAAATAAGTGTGTATAGTGGACCGCATACTCAATCATGGTACATATATAATCCTACTCCCCCAAACTGGAGCCTTCCAGATGTGTTGGACTGCAACTCCCATCATTCTCAGCCAGCAATCTATCACATCTGGAGAGCACTAGATTGAGGAAGGTTGATATAAACACTTGGTAAGTCAAATGACTAAATTACAGGTGGGCAACACAGCTGAATTTCATGGCAATTCAGCAGTGAGAAAAAAGGCAGCTTTTTCCTTTTAAAACAAGGGATCACATGCCTTACTATAATGCAAAATTACATTCCTGAATGCCACCCCCCGCCCCCCCCCCCGCTAAGGAAAGAGACAGAAGAAATCTCTTTTGAAGACCTGGGCAGCCTTGCCCAGCCTAATGCTACCTAGATATTTTGAATGACAGTTACCAGCATTCCTGGTTGCTGGCAGTGCTGGCTGTGGCTGATGGAAGTTGCAGTCTAAAGCATCTGGAGAAGACTAGGTTGTGGAAGGCTGGAACAGAATAACAGAATCATAGAACTGAAAGGGACCTCATCTATCATTCAGTCCAACCCCCCTCAGCTGATTTATGAAATCCACAGCTACAGGATCTCTGGTAGATGGTCATGCAACCTCTGCTTTAAACCCAGTAATGAGGTATTATCTATCTGCTTCTGAGGTATTATCTGTCTATCTGAGATACGAAGGACTTAACACACAGAGTGCTCACAATCCCATACTTATATGTGAATGATTAGACACCTCTCTTCCAGTTGGCTGGGAGAGTTGGCATCACCTCTGAACACTTAAGTCCATTCTGAGCAAATTTCTGAATGTGCATGCAGTGACTGAGGCACAGCTTTTGCTATACTTCTGAATGAACTCTGCAGCAAAAGAAAGCAGATGGGAGATGGAATTCCTGAGCTAAGCAAATTAGAGCTCTTTTGGTTTTGTGCAGGAAATTCAACATGCCATTGGCACTAAAGGCGAGGGCTTCACAGCAGGCTCAGGCAGATCTGCATACAGATGCAACAACATGAATGCTAATGTTCTTTGACAAATAATGGTAAGTATTAGAGGACTGAGCAAAACTGAATTGAAATGCTGGAAATTCAATAGCCAGAAAAACAACACTAGCAAAGGCCGCTCTTAAAACACTTGCTCAATATTGGTCTGGAAGGCTAAAACAGTTACACACAAAGCTCATAAGCTGGCCAGGTCTTTTCTGGATGCCTGTAAGATCCCTGTGGAATGGGAGCAGGAATGTATCTGGAAAGCTTTGAATTGTTTGGCCAATGTGGTGTAGTGGTTAAGAGTGTGAGGGGACTCAGGCGATCTGGTTCTAGTCCCCACTGAGCTATGGGGCCAAGTGACTGACTTTGGGCCAGTCACAGACTCTCAGCCCAGCCTATCTCACAGGGCTGTTTTGTGAGGATAAGACTGAGAGCAGGAGGAAGTGTAAGCTATTTTGAGTGTGTGGTAAGAAAAAAGTGGAGATAAATCTAATAGAGAAATACAACTCTCAAGTTGTAGGACATGTTTCTGTCTAAACATGCAAAGGATTATATACAGAACAACAAAAATTGGCAGAAGTCATCCATACTGCCTCCAGCTGAGAACTGGGGCACTTCAGTAGCGCATGCCTGATTAAGCAAAGTATCCCTGTCTTGGCAGTTCAGTCAACTCCAAATGCAGCCTTGGGCCACCAATGTCACTGGGACAATCCTCACTATTCCAGAGACATGGCTCATGGTCAGGGATGGGAAGACTTGTCCAGCAACATCTGAAGACCCATGCTTAGGAAAGTCAGGACTGTGGGTTACTTGAAGTTCGAATAAGGAGTCAGGCCAATGTTCAGTGAGAGTGGCTCTATAGATATCCTATTGTGTCCAACTCGGAAGAAACCAAGAATTACAAATGCTCAAGCAATTACAAATTCTGGAGGACTAGAGAGATAATTAAAGGAGACCATTCAAAAAGATGGAATGCTCCAGCCACAAAGCAGGTTAACCCAAGTGTAGCTCCTCCCCTCCCCAAAATCAGTTGACATTTCTGAGACCCTAACTGACTCAAACAATGAGCCAAGCGGCATGTCTCAGGGCTGGCTGCCTCTCCCTAAGCCCCTAGGAGCGTTTTCTTTTTGAGCTCCCCAGAAGTGGCCAAGTGGTTTGAAGTATTCCCCACCTTCTGCATCTCATCACATAGTGAGCATTAACAAAGGCAGTCCCATTTGAGAGTTCACCTTTGGTGCCTGGAAGGAGAGACACTGGATTTCTCTGATCACTAATAAACTCATATTGCTATTTCTGTCTTTCATAAATTTGACTCCTTTTGTTTTTCATACCGCTGGCCATTACGTTATAATTTTTATTAGTTTTGGAGGTTTATACTCTGCCCTTGTACCCAATTTGCTGGGGGACTATTCAGTATGACCGAAATAACAACAGAAAGTTCCTAAGTGGTTTGCACAATGAGAAATAAGGCATCAACCAACCAATGTTCAGCACTTGTCAGTCTGGTCGATTTCAACTTCAACTCAGGCGTAAAGATCAAAGGCCAGTTGAGCTTCCAGTTTTGCAGCCAATGGTTACCAATGAGTCCCTGCTTGTCTTTGCTTGTTTTATGCCTGCTGAATGCATATTTCATTCAAGGCACTCTAGTTCCTGTGATGTCCCAATTAAACAGAAATATACCCCACTGAATTCAATGAGACTTATTGCCAAGGATGCATGTGCAGAGGTGCAACACGAATAGTGGGAGCGATTTTATCAGGAGTCAGAAATTAGTTTTCATTATATGATAATAAAGGGGATAATGCCTGTGAGCATTTCAGGCATACATTTCCTCGCTGTTAAGGGCAGCCAACACTAAGATATCTGTGATCAGCCAAAAGGAAGAGGGTGCAATGCCTGAGGATATAATGTTCTTGTAGGCTAAAACCTTTGCACCTCTGACCGTAGGAAACAATGAGCTCTTTCCCTCTCATTTTAGCTTCCTGCACTTGATAACTGGGAATTTTTTAAAGGCATTAAGTACAATTCTTCACACACTTACCTGAAAATAAGAACCACTGTAACCGACAGGACTACTTATAAGTAAACATTATGGTATGCCATGATTAATAGCGTGAAGTCCATGAGGGAATCTGCTTGGAGAAACTCTGCCGTTGGAGCAAATCTGCATGCTGGGTGCTGACCGCAATGCACTCTGCCTAGGCTCAGGGGCACACTCGCTCTTGTGAGAGCCCGAGGCCGTGATAATCAGACGCAAAACCGGGAAAACCGCGCGAGCCTGAAGGAAAGCGCGCTCCCGGGCCGCCGCGCTCAGAGCTGGCCACGCGCGCGCCGCAGCTCTGCCGCCGCTTACCTTGTACAGGTTGATGGGGATGTCGATGAGGATGAGAAGCAGGTCCCCCAGCGCCAGGCTGGCGATGAGGATGTTGGGCCCGTTGCGCATGCATTTGTTCTTGTAGATGATCCGGAGCAGCGTGGAGTTGCCGATGATGCCCAGCACGAAGACCAGGCCGGCCACCGCCGTGTTGATGTACTTGAACGCCTTCGCGATCTCCGTCCTCCGGGTGCACGTGGGGTACGGCGGGAGGGGCGCTCGGCCGCCCGGCCGCGAGGCGTTGGGGGCGCCGCCCGCGGTCGGGCTCGTGCTCGTCCAGGGGGCAGCGGGGCTCTGCTGGCTTCGCCCCTCCGGGCGCGGCGGCGCCTCGCTCTGCTCCAGCGCCCCGCCGCCACTCAGCAGGATGGCCACCAGCCCCAACTTCCAGAGGCCGCGCCCGCCCATGATCGCGCCCGCCGCGCGGCCAGGCACCGGCGCCGCCTGAAACCCAAAGCCGGGAGGGAAGGAAAGAAGGCAAGCAACGAAGAGCCCCGGGCGCGGGAGCAGCCTCCTCCGGGGTGGCGTGGCGTGGCGGGAGAGAGAGCGGAGCCCAGCAGCTCCCGATCGCGGTCAATCCCAGCTCGGCCAAGCACGTGCGCCCACCCCGAACGAGTCGCGGCGTCTGCGGATCGGCCGCCTTGCGCGCCGTCGGGGCAGCTGCTCTGTGAGGCGGCGGCGGAAAGGCGCACAGCCAAACGCGCGTCGATTCCCGGGCTCATCCAGTCCCGCCCCACCCTGGCTCTGGTCCAAGGTTAAACCAACTTGAACGAGAGTCCCGTCCACTCCTGCACGTCTTCCCCAAGGAGGACAAACCCTGGGCAGACACGTCATGCTCGGGTGGCCCTTCCTCGGGTCAAAGCCAGTTCTGGACTGGGTGCGCGGAGACGGGGTGGACAACCCAGACCCTCGCTTGGGAGAATCGGTATCTCCGTTTCTCCCATCACTTCCGAAATAACTGCTCCAATTATAATGAACTGTATTTAGGGTGGAAAACGCGACAGAACAAAGGAGATAAGCGCTAGGTGATCTCTGTTAGGGGATGTTACAAAAAAATGCAGCAGAAACTGCGAAAAACTAAGGACTGACTTAGGCTATATTTTAAATATAGAAATCAGCCGGATCCTTCCCGCTTGGTGAAAAGAGTGGGTTAAAAATAGCAATTTTTCAGTTGTTAGACTCTGACGCTTAAAAACCCCAGCACAGTTAAAGCAGCGTGCTGGTAGGTAGTGAATTGATCGCTATTTTCTCCTGTTTTCGGGAGTATTGTTCTTGGACAGTTTTATAGCTCAGTCTTACATACCTCTGTATGTTCAGTGAGATTTACTCCCAGGTAAATGGGTACAGAATTGCATCCTAAGAAATGTATTCCATGTAGTCCAGCATAGCTTTCATTCTTTTTAATGGTTCTGCTCTAAGTAGGGCTAACACTAGATAAACAGTAAATGTGATGATGGTCTTTAAAGATACTAGGAAATGCCTCATGTTTACATTTGATATAGTAGGTGTATTGGTTAATATCCACTTTGCTGTCCTTTCTGGAACATATTTATTACTTTAAAAACATTCTATCTGGCCTCTCAGCTCAATAGAATACACTCAGCGATATACTACAAAAAATGACATTCCCCCCTAAAATAACCACCCATAATGCAAAACATGCAAACAGCTATATGGTATAAAAATGAAGAATAAATGTAAGATGGATTTCTGTTTGGCAGCAATGCAAATTTGGACCTTTTCTGTAGTGGTGCCTGCCCTATGGAATGATTCCCCTTCTGAGGTACATCCCATATTGACTCTGGAATGTTTTAGCATTTACCAAAAAAGTATCTGTTTATGCTGACTTTCCTTAGCAATGAGTTGTCTTTGTACCAGCCTCACAATACACTTGTGTGCTTTTGTGTGTGTGTGTGTGTGTGTGTGCGCGCGCGCGCGTCCATGTGCATAGTTTTTGCTTGTTTTGCCTTTATTCTTTTGTAGACCCCTGATATGTAAATAATGAAAACAAATGAATAAATATAAAACAACGTTTAACAGTGGGGTGGGCTTGCAGCCTGATCATGCTCTGTAAACATTTACTAAGCTCAAGAAATTACTAAGCTCAATTGCTTATTTAGAAGCAATGAGAGTAACTCCTAAATCAGTCAAATTGAGAAATGCCACAGAGTACTGCAATCCCTGGTACACATATCTGGGAGAAGAATCTCACTGCACATAACATAATACAACTTTAGTGATTCCAGAGTTTAATTATTAGGGTGTAATTGTTCCTCAGTGGATGCTTACAGATGGAGGGTTCTTAACCCTGAGAGTAAAAAGGTAATATGCAGTTTTGCCTCCCCCACAAAAGCACAAAAAAGGAGAAATAAGCCATTTGAAAATAATTTAAAGGAAGATATGCCCTACTTTTCCTAGTAAAAGTACATGCTTATTTTTAACTGGATTGAAACAGGTCTTTACCTTGTTAAAGTGCCCAAGAAGTTAAGGTGGCTGATTGTGAAAGGCCGTTTCTTGTTACAGATGGTCTGCCCGCACTGCCTGGTTGGTACACTGTATACGGTTTTGCAGCTGTTGGAAATGATGGCAGAGATATAAAGGTCCTTAATTTTATGTTCTCTTCTTCTTCCTTAGATACGCATAGACTCTATCTTTCCCATCAGTCACTGCCAAACTCCACCCACTCCTAACACAGAGCCTTTCTGCCTGGTCAGCTCTAAAGGCCTGGAGAACATCAGCAGAAAGTTTCCTGTTCGCACAGGCATCTAACAGGCCATGCATGATGTGGGAAGGGCAAGAAGGAGAGAACCTTTTCTTGTCACAAAATGATAGAGCCTTGTGCAAATAACCGGACCAGGCTGGGTGCTGTGGTGGCTGCAGCTCCTTCTCCCAACCTTTTGTTCTTCAGATGTGTTGGGCTGCAGATGCACCCACCTGGCCAGGAATGATCAGGGTCACAGTCCTCCCTTACTCTGTGAAGCTCAAGCTGGCATACGGTGTTTTCACTGCACATACATCCTCACAGCAACTCTAGCGGGGCTAACAACCTGGTTCTTCCCATCTAACCTAACAACACTCAAGCTCAGCTTTCCTCAACCAGGTGCCCTTCAGAGGTGCTCGTCTCCCATTGTCTGGAGCCAGCATAACCCATTCTGGATGGGGACGATGGGAGTCTGGAAGGTGCCAGATTGGAGAAGCATAAAGGTTTTACATGCTCTTGCATTTGGGGGCTTGTTCATGTGTCGCTTCAGTAGTTGAAAATCATTAGAAGTTGTACTCAGAAGAGCGCTGTTATTTATTTGAAGCCCTTGCAGATATGAAAAAAACAACCCTACTGATCCCTAGTGATAGACTCTTCTTTGACCTCCTCTAACTCCCTTCAAACAATGTCTGCATTTTTCAAGGGCATCTTCACAGACCCAAAGAATGTCTAGAAATGTACTTATTTTCAAATGGAAGCCATGATGATCTGGATGTGGAATTCTGCACCCAGAATCCTATTCTGTGTTTTTCTGTGTTTGCATGGAATACTTGAAGCTCTGGTGAGGAGGGGTTACTGTTCCAAACCCCACTGAAGAAAAGGTAGTCGAGGGAGTAGTTTCAGGAGAAAATCAGCAGGTTGAACTTCCTTGCAGCTTCTTTGCTGAAAAGTGTCTGTCGCTAGAGAGCACATACTTATTTGCAAAGGAGCAGGGGACCTTTGGACTAAAGTTGTACATGACTGCATGGCCAGTGTATTTACAACTTCTAGCTCTGGAATGAATTTAGAAAGGATGCAAAGATGTGTCAACTTGATGGGACGTCTTTTCAGAAGTCACAGCAGGAAAGAATTTCCTGTTTAAAGGAACTTCGCTGAAACATTCCCATTTCCAGCGTCATTAAGAGGACTTAGTTTTCAGACTTCCAGTAGTACAGCATGGCAGTCTCACTAAATGACTGCTCACTGAACTTGTTCATCATGAACCTGTGGGAAAGCTGTTCATTGTAGCTGCAACCTGTGCGTGGCTAAATCTTGAACAATGAGAAGATGCTGATGTAGCAGTTCTCCAGATGTGAGAATCAGTTTCCCTGATGTGATTAAATCACATCCCTTGCCTGGTACATGTGATTGCTTCCTAGAGACCTAAGTAGAACAACCACCTGGAAGCCATGTCTGCTCAGCTCAGGCACCATGTCCCGCAAGATATGTGTTTGTTTCTGTTACGGAGGTGAACATGTTCCCCAGATTCAAACAACTGTTCTTGTCCACAGAAAAGTAATCCTTTAGTCATTTATTGTTTACTGAAAAGTTTTCAAGATGTTTACAGCTAAACATGTGAACTTGCCTGACTTCAGTCATGTCCTGCATACATACCTTGTGCATAAAAGAGAAATAAAAATCCTATATGATTTAAATGGACTTTATAAATAGAATTCTCTACATATTTATGATATTTGCATAGTACAGGTTTGGAAGCACGGCTTTATCACACAACCTGGTTTCCACCAAAACATTATAGTGGTGTTACACCAAGATTGTGTGTGTGTGTTAAACACATCTATATTTAGTTTAAAAGGGATAACATGTTCTGAGCCAAACTGAAGGAGGAATTCTGTCTCCAGTTGTGTTTTAATATAGTGGCCCCTGAAGTCAAGTGCTAAATCATGGCTTGGTATTGACATTACTACAATAACCTCAGGTTCATTTTTTTCCTGCATTACAGATATACTAAACAGCTAAAAACGGGATGCTTATCTTTTCATATTGGTGAGTATGAGGCAGTACATTGCCAAGTTCATGGAAACATTTCATGTTCTTTTTCTACCTGTGAATTCTGTACAGGTGAAAAAACATATTCTAACTTCAGAAATATTCCAAATATGGTTTTATCCTTATGAAGTACTATAATTATATAGATTCTGTACATAGTATTAATAAATTTGATAAATTAGTAAATGTGTAATTATAAGATTACAGGATAACATGATGTACAAATGGTGAATTTCAAATCATTAGTTTTGAATATCCTTTTATGTGTGATGTATGACACCAGCATCGCATACACAGAGAAGCACAAGATATCCCGCTATCTTACTGCAGCTATTTTAGGATCACTATGCATCGATTCTGCATTTCACATAGGAAGCTGCCTTATACTGAATTGGAACATTGGGCCATCTAGCCCAAGCATGCCTGCACTGACTGGCAGCAACTCTCCAGATAAACCCCACACGGAGATGACCGAATTTGGAACATCTGCATGCAAAACATGTGCTCTGTAACTGAGCTACAGTTTGCCCCTAAGTGCTCTTCAATGTCTTCTGAATATTTATGCATGGGACTGCCTTGAGAGGATGGTGCTGCCAGGCACTGAGCACATCAGCAGGGCCCACAGAGCAGTTGGGAAGTTTCACCACATGTGAGCCCACACACTCAGGACTTCCAGTTGTGTGCAGCCTAGGCTGTGCCTGTGCACCAAGCACAGCACCAAGGAGGCAACGTGGTGCCCAGGGATGCCAGCAGAGGTAGAATAAGGCACTGCCGTTTTGCCCGTTATGGGGAAAGTGCAGCTCTCTCTGGTCCTCTTGGATGATGGCTGCACCCTCTGCTGCCCCAGCAAG